AACACGGTTAAAAAAGGCGCCGTCGCGTTTGAAAAGGGTGACGTCGCGTTTGAAAAAGGGCGACGTCCGTGGCTTGAACAAGGGCGACGTCGCGTTTGAAAAAGGGCGACCGTCGCGTTTGAAAAACGGGCGACCGTCGTGGTTGAAAATGCGCGACGTCGTGGTTGAGGAAGGAATAAAAAACACGACGCGACGGCAATTATGGAACAGAAATGTGCGACGTCGCACATTTGAATCGCACGATGTGCGATGGCAATTTTGGAACACCATAAAGTACGGCTGTAACGAAACCCAGTATCTACTGATGTATTAATAAAGAAATCAACACAAGAATTTGGTCTTGTACGTTATAATCCAAGTGATGTTACACTGCCCATGGTCAACTGTCCAGAACTCCAGCGGCCCGTGGCATGGGCTTCCAGGAAAAATCAGTCAGCTACGACCCTGATACGAACATATTTCGTTAGGCATCATACACTTCATACTTCTTCTCATCAATTCACACTTCATACACATCATACTTCTCATGCACGATACTAGCGCCGATCAACGGCAGCTAAAAATGTACGAAATCGGAATGTGGAGAAGATCAGGCTTTCTGTTATTATACGAGGGAGGCAAGACGTTATCCATACTTTGTAGAACTCTATTCCTCAGTATAAATATTGTGTTATTCCTATTAAATACATTATTCCAATAAAATGTGATTTTCATTAGCAGATATCAGGCATGCGCGCAGACACGCCTGACCCTATAATCTATCTCCTAAGTAAGGAGGGTTGGAAGATTTGCCGCCTTATAATTACTGAAGTGAGTTATTGGGGTCATCATTTTTTATATTTATAATAAAATAATATATATGGTATATATATATAATATAGTATAATTAAAAAAACGATTGTATGAATATGTTTTTATCACACGCTACTTCTCATTGGCGACGCTAGCGCCGACTAGCGGCAGCAAAATGTGTACGTAGTTTAATTAGGCGTTGCGAGTAATCGGGATGGTAAGAGCTCTATGGTAAGGTATAGTGTGAGAGAGACAATGCATGTTACACTCGTCATAGAAAACTAATCCTGAATATGTCATCTCCTGATTTCTTTTACGAGATAGTAGGCATGTACCGAGATGAGCATGACTCTATCATCTATCGCACGATAATAGGATCAACATTTTACATATTTAATTACTTTTGAGCATGTGCTCAGTACAGGTGTATAATTTGGTATTTTTTGAAAATTTCGACAAAATTATATATATATATATTATATCCCCTACCCTCCGCGCCCCTCCCCCTATCGTTGGTACGTTTAGTTCTTTTTGGTGAGAGCGTGAGAGATGTGCTGGTGACAAATATATATCGTTTACTACTTGATACTGACACCGACCAACGGCAACGAAAAATGAATCGGGATGTTCAGAAAATTGCAAAAGATCCTCTTTCAGAAATTCCTCTTATTATATAAGAGAGGCAAGAAAATCTTTTATAGAACTCTATTACAGACTATGTCCTTTCCGTCATAATTACAACAACATGTGATTTTCTTTTGCAGATAACGTGTAACGTGCATGCGCACAGACACGTACCATAATCTATCGTACGGTTTATGGAGGTTTGGAGGGTTTTCCGCCACACTATTACTGGACTGAATCATTGTAATCAACATTTTGCACATCTATCCGCTCCTGAATGTGTGCTAAATACAGCTGTATAATCTTAACAAACATGTATATGTTTTGTTTTCGATTATACACTATGTGCAGGCGAGAGATATCCACATCCAAGTGTGGCTTTAGGCCACCTCGTCCCCCGCCGGTGGCCTCCAGCTCCCGTCAGCTCACTCCGACAATAACCCTTCCGCGACCGAAAATAGTTCTTTTTGTTTACGTATTTTAGAAATGCTAAAACAAGTTACCATGGTATATGCCGATTGTATTACCCATAGGCATAGATATCGAATTAAATAGGAAAATACAAGACAAGCGCCAGCGCAGCCCTCGGTAAGTTATTAGTATCACGTTATAGTGTTGCAGGCGTTATATTTGTATGACGGGTGCCTAAGGCTACCTATATAGAATTGTAATAAAAGTGTATGATGGGGGCCCAAAGCCACATATATTATAGTATTTGTATGACGGGGGCCTAAGGCCACCTATATAGTATTGTAATAATAGAATAGTGTATGATAGGGGCCTAAGGCCATCTAGGCCCTATATAGAATTGTAATAATAGTGTATGATGGGGCCCAAGGCCACATATATAGTATTTGTATAGCGGGGGCCTAAACCCTCCTATATAGTAGGGTGTGGTAAGCCTTGGTTGTAAGCTATACCGCCTCCAGCAAATAAAAGTAGGCTGCATCACTTGCACAGTATATTACTGCGCCAACGGGGCCCTTGGCCCCCGGTGGAGGCTACACTTGAATGTGGATATCTGTCGCCTGCACACTATGTCTCGTGTGCGACACTAGCGCCGACCAACGGCAGCGAAAACTGTACATATAATTTCATTCGGTGTTGCTGATAATCGCTATATGCTGAGATATATAGGGCACGGATACATCGGCGACCTGTCGCCCAAAGGAAATGGCGAAGGACCGACGTTAAGCATTTAATCTGGAGTGTGGCATGCCTACAGAAGGCGCGCATCGAAAATAGCACCCTCGCTACTTCAATGTATTGGCACTGCTCTGCGGAAGGTCCCCTGCTATACCAATGTACCGGGATGGGTCACGGACACGTCGGTGACCTGTCGCCTAAACGAAATGACGTAGGGCCGACGTTAAGCATTTAATATTGAGTGTGGCATGCCTTCAGGAGGTGGCATCTTCTTATTGTAGAAGTTATTCTTAGTATGTTTTCTTCTTTTTAAGTACAGCATTCTAGCAAAAAGGTGAATTATGTTAGCAAGTAGTATAGATACACACACTCTGACTTTCTATAGGATTTAGAGGATTTGCCGCCTCATAATTATTATCGAAGTGAGTCATTGAAATCAACATTTTTTCTCATCCATCTATTCCTGACTAAGTCGCTTATGATAGTTAACGTGCGACACTCTCACAAACAATTTTCACATCACATTACTCGTGAGTACATGCTCTTTACTTCAAGAGTGTAGTCTTTATGAAAAGTTACTTGTGCAGAGGGTGCGTGCTAATTTATGCCTCATATTCGCGAATATCTCAATGTTCGCGTATGGTGTGGGTTCGCGCATTCCAAGTATCTGCCGAAAGGATTCACATTAAATTTACACGTTAAAGTAGATGCCACATACAGACACACACACGAACAATATGATACGATAAATGACTATCTCCAAATCATTCGAACTGTTTTTGTCACAATATGGTTTACCCCATCATGTTTCTCTGTTACGACTCTATCCTTAAAATTAATTAAATACATGTCACACAATTTCATCTGCAAGTTTTCCCTAAGCGTTTTTCCCCGGGGCAACGCCCACATCAAACCACTCGTGATTATCCGTATTTTCAAATGAACAATTTCTACAAAATGTGAACTGACCTATATGACATGCGTGAAATATGATCTTGGCCTGCAGCGCATACAGACAAACATTCGGGACGATTGTATAATCTGACGATCTGCTACATGAATGAATCACCCATACGAAAATTAATATATTGTATTTTGTGCGAATTGTCCCGTACTGAAATTATTATTGTTAAGGTAACATTATTGTATTATAATGTTGAAAATTATTTGTTTACGCTTCAGGTAGTGATTTCTCATATAAAAAACACAAGGTGCCCAGGCTCAGTATTCCCACGTGCACTATGCGGTAGTATGACGCCCAGATCTGTGTACGTGTATGCCCAGATCTGTCATCAGAAACAACATTTTGGTCCAGTTACACATTTAAAGTTGGGAGAACACACAACTATAGTTTGGGAGCAGAGAATGAAGGGGTGGAGGAAGAGCAGTCGGAAGAAGGTCCAGAAGAGGAAGAGGAGGAGGAGGAGGAGGAGGAGGAGGAGGAAGATAGGAGAGATCGAGGTGGATGCGGAGGGAAGGAAACGTTGGGGGAGGTGGCGGAAGAAGAGACTAGAAGAGAGTAATGAGCTTATTATGGGAGATGAGGAGATACAGAAGAAGGGATCCCGTTAATAGATGTAAGGTGTCTAGTTTTCCCCATATCATCCTAGCACGCCTATCATCTGTCCAATTTCGTTGGTCACACAGCGGTCCAATTTCGTTGGTCACACAGCGTAAATATTAGCGAGTATTATGTTGATGTAAACAATTCTATCGCAATGTCTCGTTTAAAATGCTAGGTGTGCCTAATCGCAATCTTCCCAATTTTACTACGCCGAGGCACGACACCTTCTTTTGCTTCGATTATACGTTTAAACATGCTCTTCATCATTGAGTGTAATCATTCCTCGTAAGTAAAACATTTACATACGATCGAGCCTTTAAAGTAACTGAATATACTTTCTTTCTAGACGTGTAGAAATATATTGCATCCGGACTACTAGGAAAGCGATTTTAATATCTACAAAAACATTTGAGACATCAACAAGGAAAACCCGATTAAAACGGTGTTACAAGTTTGAGAAATATTTATTTAACACTTCACATAATTATGCTGAAGATTATTACTCTGTACACAGCTGACGTTAGCACTCCGACGAGACAGGATTGGACGTTCACACAACATACAATGCCATTATTTACACATCTTCCTGTGACTAAATCCCACGTATAAGTACAAAATACTTCTCGTCATTCTACGTTGATGCTTCTAAGCTTTAGGTTTCATTTCCCCGAATCAAGGTTCAAGCATTACCGACAGAGTACTACAGGAATTTACATGTATGGAAGCAATTCTGGCGTATGCAGGACTATAACTCTTAACATAGACCGTAACTGATGCCGAGACGTACATCGAAGTACAATCCGAGATACAATAAACACTAGTTATAGTCCGTTATAGAAAAATATTACACCGCTAAAGTCACTGACGCGTCAGTGTGACAGAATTATAGCACATTTCACTTTCTACAAAATCGAGAACAAATGTTGTTGCCTTTCGACGCGATGCTTCCAACATGGTAAATGTAAATGTGGGCAAATGATTCCCCATCTCCTCCGTTCGCTAGTTCGTGCGAAAGAGAGAGAGAGAGAGAGAGAGATGCCGCCGCCATGCACTCTCGCCGTGTAAGCGACTAACAACAAGTTCGAGAATATACATATATATATATATATATATATTTATTTATTTATATATATACGATGAGTTTACCAGAGTTTACGATGTTTGATTATAAAACAGGCCGCTCAGTCCGCGCCCACAGGTTTCCTACGAGTGGCGCTGACCCGCTCACGCCACCGCAATGACGGCTAAACTCGGCGAGGAAGTCCCGCGATCCGGGAAGCCTCGCTACGTTTCATATCCGCGCCGAAAACGAGTCGCGAAGCAGACTTCTAAAATAAGCAATAAATTAGACACTAAAACACATACTGTCGTCTGTCACCGCCACACGGGTACACATATACACGACTCATCTCAAGGCTGACCATCAGGCTCCACCACCTCGATGTCGTCTGCAATACCCAACAGACTCTCAAATTCTAACGCCCTCTGCCGGCCATGTCAAACTCATGGGAGCATACGATCCGTGACCGATGATCCACACATCGACTTCAGCACCAGCTAATGGGCGACGTGCCTCCATGCAGCTGCAGCGACCTCTAGTGGCAGTCACGGGCAGCGCAAATCAATGCTGTACAGTCGTATTTACAGTTGACTCGGTGAGAATCATCTTCCTTAGATAAGTCCACCAGCGAATGCAGTCCGTGGCTGAGGGGGTCTTACACGACCGAATTCTGCGAACGAAATCAGACCGGAATTTTATCATGAGAATCTGACACATTTAACTGACCGAATCTGACAGAGAGAAGTTTTATTAGCACATTACTTTAGTTGCCAGCCATACCTTTATTCATCTATTACATATGCAATCCAATCACTGAACTCTAATTAGATTTCAATAAGGTTTTATCGAAGCCGAATTACTAATGGAGCGAAGAACAGTTATTTTCGGGACAAGGGATTGTACTATTTTTAATTTTCTGGAATCCAAAAAAAAAACGGATAAATTAATATTTTAATTAACTGGTTACTGGGAAATGGCACATTTTTTCCTTTTCCTTTCACAGACCTTTTCCTCTCCTAACATCTCACAGAATTACAGAGTGCTGTTAGATTGACCGTAGATCAGCATACCTCTGGTTGCTCCATCCTGTATGCCATTGGATTGGCCCTTATGTTGAAATCTCTCTCGGACCCCCTGCCGTTTCTGCCAGATGACTGCGGGTGAGATTGTGGACTAGTAGGAAAGTTAGGTCTTGTGTACGGTGGGATATCATCTGTCGAAAGAGAATATGAATAAATGAGTCAATCTCACCCAAGACCTCTCCACGTTTTTTTTTTATATAGAACCGTTATTTGATCGATTTAAAGCGATGATTGCGAGTTTTTTCCAGCGTTTTTTAGTGTTTATTCTCACTCTCATGATGCCTACCGTTGTTGCTTGAGTAACAGTAATTGTTTGAAATAACAATAAAATGTCTTAGAACCGCATGCAAAGACAAAATCATGCACGATTACAACTTTGCGTTCTCTTGTTGATTTTCGCTGTCATGTCTCGCACTTTCTCGCGGTACCGCGAGACGTCAACAAGAGTACAGTAATGCAAAAATCGCACCGGAGATATTTTTGGTCAGATGTAAACACAGAGGTGCATAGTAGCGTAACACAAACAAGAGTGTAAGTTGTAACCTCATAAATATTAGTCTTCAAAAGTGCTAGGGACTATAACGAAGACGGAGAGAGAAGTTGATCAAATCCTCGTTGCGTACCACCAGCGAGAATACTTATCACACACAAATAGATGCCCCTTTGTTTTAATTATGTTCGCTTGTTTGAGACGCCATTTGTGATTTTTGAAAGTCCTGACTCGAAAAAATTTATTGCTGGTATGATGTGGTCAAATCAATTTTTCTATGCTATAACAGCATAAAATATTGGTGTTTTGAATGTTGGTGTAATCAGTGATATTTTCGCTGTCAGGTGAGTCTATATTCAGCTATATTTAGTTTTTCTGAGCAAAATTCTCGCAATGATCGTTTTAAGATTGTGTGCATCGTAGTAGTGTATAGTGACATTAAACTGTGTATCATGTAACAAAGATTCAGTGGTTACCCTACCGGGGTCTGATGCCAGCTGTCGGTTTGAGGGTTTCCGTGGGTTTGGCTGTCTCTTCTCCCCTGTCGATGCCTTTGGTAGACCCGGAACATTCGCATTGTGACCTGGTACACACAGAAAATCACAATAAAAATATGACAGGAAAAACCCATGAAGAACAACACTCCAAATGTGTTGAGTGACGAAGGACTACATACATTATCTGTGATGAATCTAATGTTGCATATCTATATATCTATATCTATATCTATCTCATATATATTCATATAGGTTAGGGAACTGAATACTGACTATTATATGTAACATTGTGTGTTTCTATTACACACTCTTGGTGAGTGAGCTGCATGAACACGCTAAAGCAATCCTCTCATATTCCATTTAATGATGTTGGATATCTCAATTAAATAATAATAATATGGCTTTTATGCGAAGCGCTCTTCTGCCCTCGCAACAACTGCGCGTTGTTCCCGCGCTGTGAAGATGCGTGTGATTACATCGCCCGAGCCTCTTCTTCAAGTATCTCTCTCCTTTTCTAATTCTAGGGAGAGTCCATTAAAGCGCTAATGTCACGGAATATTGCGTTTTTTCGCGCAACGCCTCCATTCCTCGGGATGAGTTCGCTGATGCCGGTGGCCTTCAGAATGAGTTGATAAATGGATTTTACTGAAGCGACGGCACGCGCTTGCAATGGCGCAGTACCTGCTACGCTACAACTAAAATCGCTGCGTCAATTATTGACGAGGCGCGTTCGTAAACGGAGCCGGTGTTTTTCTTTTACGTAGGTGTTGCCATGCACACGCGCGCACGCTGCACGGCTAGCCCAGTGGGCCGGTTAATGAGCTCTAGCCCTGAATCAAACACGCTCATTATGGACCGATAGCCGTGCCAGTACAGCGAATTAAATGAGGCAGGGGCGTCTCAATGGAGACACCTCACAGGGGGTACGTGTCTCATTGGAAACACCACACAGAGAGCTGTCTCAGTGTCTCAATGGAGACACCACACAGAGGGGAGACACCTCAAAGAAAGCGTATCACCGGAGATACTACATTGTAATGAGAGTGCTCTCCCGGATGCTCCCCCCACCAGCTTCCCGCTCGACCGCCCGCCCACCCGCCGACACATTACTCCCGGTAACATTGTATGTACCTGGATGCTTCCGCCGGTGTGCTTTGGGATATGAGCGCTGCTTCACGACCTCAGACATGTTGCTGTCAGTGCTGTAGGGACTCACGGGCCTCGCCGGGTACCTCTGCCTCAGTGGCATCTGCTGCTGCTGCTGCTGCTGGTGCTGCTGCTGCTGCTGCTGCTGCTGCTGCTGCTGCTGCTGCTGCTGCTGCTGCTGTTGCTGCTGTTGTTGTCTACCTGCTCCAGACGAGTGAGAACGAGAAACGTGGTTGCGTGAATCTAGAAGCAAGGGTATGTTCATGGATCAACACCGTGTGCGTGCTTTAGAATGAAGTTACGTTCATTGGCTTGGCAAACTTTTTTAAGAGAGGTCAGGGAAAGACAAGCCCCCTTCGTGTAGCGGGCCACAAGTTTTAGGATAGATAGGAAAAGGGAGAAATACTCACGTATCACACACTCAAAGTAATAAATAATCATAAATGACGTCTCACCAAACTCTCCTTTGTAATTTTATCGATATAATAATTTTTTCAGTACCAACTTCGCAAGTTTAAAATATTATCGATTAATAAATGAGTGGTTTTTATACGTGGCTATTTATTTCAAATTTGTTAAAGGCAATGGCTGGCTGGACAGATTAAACTGGCAGGTCGTATGTTACTGATCCCTTGTTTTATGCAGTATGGAAATTAATCACACCCATTACTGTATGCAAATATTCTTGCATGGTCTATATAGCCTGACCTACACTGCGAATTATTTATAATTTACAATTTATACGCCCTTAGCAACGAATTTATAGCCTAGAGCAACGAAAACTGCAGTATTGATGGCTATGAGATAAAGCCATATGAAGCTTAATGCCGTTTACATCACAAGGGAAGTAGGGAATAACTGATGCCACTCAATCCACTAAAAAAAAGCAAGTAACCTTCCCGAAAAAAAATCGCGCCAGTTAACTCAACCACCCTCCCATTCACGGCTCCAACGTAAATTGAAAAAAATAAAACCGCACTGGTTACTTCTACCACTCTCACGACTCAACCATGAAAGGTAAACCCCCCTCAAGAGGATGGTGCAGTGGGGACCGCTGTAGGTTTCTCGTACCTCCGTTCGGGTCCGATATGACGCTGCCGGCAACAGTGTAGCCGGCCGTCTCAGCGGCGTGTGCGACTGCGCTCGCAAAGTCCGCCTCGTCGAAGAACGATCCGTCGGAGGAGCTGGCGGCGCTGGAGCGAGCGCTGGTGCCTGAGCTGTTAGTACCGTCCGTCACACTCGCCCACTCCGCCATCATGCCGCCTGCAACGACGCCACCGCGCGCGGTCAGTGTCAGCGGTATTGTTTATATTACAGATAAAGAGATGTGTGTATATATATAATACATTAATACATGTGTATACACACACTCTCTCTCACACACACACACACACACGCACGCACGCACGCACGCACGCCTATACACACACCCACGCACGCACGCACGCACCGCCGCACACACAAACCTGCACACACACACACACTCACGCACGCACGCACGCACGCACGCACGCACACACACACACACCTGCACACACACACACACGCACGACACACACACACGCACACCACACACACACACTCTCTCTCTCTCTCTCGCACGCACCTGTGACGGGGTCGAGCTCTCCCTCGACGCTGGACGTCGGTGAGTGAGGGTGTCGGCTCAGCACGTCGTCGTACGACGGCACAGCCCGCCGTCTCCGTCGTCGCTCGCGCGGCTGCGGCGTCGCCCCGGCCGCGCGTGCCGGGTAGCCGATGCTCAGCTGCGGCCCGTTCTCGCGCACTCGAGCCGCGGGCAGGGTGCGGCGGGCAGGCATCGACGATAGAGGGCAGAGACGACTGGATGCCGCGGTCCATGCAGCCGTCGTATCCTGCAGCAAAGACGAAGACCGTACGTGAGATAAGTCGTATCAGCAGGCATCTCTCCCTT